GATTTGGATTCATAGCAACCCTGTATAGGTTTTCTGAGGTTGTCAATATTTGCTGGATCAGAAAGACTTATCTTTCTCCAGCAGAGAGGTTGGTGGGCTCAAACCACTGACATTGTGGTTCGGAGCCCAGTATTTATCCTAAGAGCCACCATGTTCCCCACTGTTGCTGTTGTAGTGTGTCATCAAGTTGGTTCCAACTCGTAGAGCCCCCGTATTGGGTTTCCTAGGAGCAGCTAGTGGGTTTGAATAGTCAGCCTTGCAGTTAACAGCCCAGAGGTTATCCTATAGTGGCACACCAGGACCCTGTGCTCCCCACTAGGTATCTTGTAGGGCCGCTTTACCCTATATTGTTGTTGTTAGGTGTCTTCGAGTGGATTCCAACTCGATTCACAGTGACCCTGTATGTGGTTTTCAAGGAGCAACTGGTGAGTTTAAACCACTGGCGCTGTGGTTCGAACTGACCTTGTGGTCTAGTGCATAATTCTGCAGCATCACATCAGGACTCCTTACCCTAGGTTGTTGTTGTTGTTAAATGGGTTTCAAAGGAGCAACTGGTGAGCAACTGGTGAGTTTGCACCACTAACTTTGTGGTTCAAACTGACCTTGAGATTGAGTGCTGGGATTCCTCATCCTAGTTTGTTGTTGTTGTTAAATATTGTCGAGTTGGTTCTGACCCATAGCGCGACCCTGTGTAGGGCTTCCGAGGAGTGACTGGTGGGTTTGAATCGCCAATCTTGTGATTTAAACTGACCTTGCAGTCCAGGGCATTATCCTGCAGCACTACACCAGGATTCAATCTGATGAAGGACTCGAGAGAGGGAATAGGCCCTCTGGAGGAGAGAGACTCTCCTGCAGACCTTGAAATAGCAGTAACATTGTCATCTGCCTCTGGAAAGCAGACATCCTCTACATGCTGAGGGTCTCAATTCTGAACTGAATCCTGCCAACAATCTGAATGACTTTGAAAGAGCATCTTAGTTACAGATGAGAAAGCAGCACTGCTCAACACTTTGTTTGTAGTTTTGTGAGATCCTTGTGAGTTAAGCCATGCCTGAACTCTTGTCCTATAGCAGCTGTAAGATGATAAATATGTGTTGTTTTAGGCCCCTCAGTTTGTAGCCATTTGTTATGCAGCAACACATAACTACGAGTAATATTCGTAGGACTTGGAGTCCCTGGGTGGTGAAAACGGTTAACACATCTGAGGATTAATTAATTGAAAGGCTGGAGGTTTGAGTCCTCCCAGAGGTCAATCAGAAGAAAGACCTGGTGATCTACTTCTGAAAACTCAGTTATTGAAAGCCAGGTAAGTGTATGTCAGGTCTACTCTGACATACACGGGGTCACCATGAATCTGAATCGACTCAAAGGTGATAGGGTACTCTAGCTGACATTTGAAATGTATGCCATCAACCTTTCTTGTTTTCTTTTTCTGTTGTTGTTCTAATGTTTTGTTTTGGTTTATTTTATTTTTATTCCCTCAATCTTTTTTAGATCTCTTTTTTTTTTCTGATTTTTTTTCTAACTATACTATTGCATTCCAAATACTTTTTTCTTATTCTTGACATTATTGGTTCCAGATTGAAATATATAAAATACTTGATATTTACATCCCTAGTTTCTAGTGGCTAATCTGATAGTAACAAAAACATTGTCTTGCACTTGTATAGATTTATTGCAGTTTACAAGGAACTTTCCACATATTTTATCTAATTTGATTCCCAGAAGAATGTTCTGAGGCAGGTCAGTCCAGTGTTATTATAATCCCCACTATGAATTCAGGGAAACATGCTCAGAGAGGTGAAGGGTCTAACTTAATGCCACTTAACACACAAGCGTCTCTGACTCTAACTTTAGTGTCTGTCCACACGATTAACTATTCAGACAAAACAAATCCAACGTATTTGTACTGTAGGAGTATATTTAATATTGTTGTTGTTGTTAAGTGCCGTCGAGTCGGTTCCGACCCATAGCGACCCTGTACAGGGTTTCCGAGGGTGTAAATCCTTACGGGAGTAGAAAGCCTCATCTTTCTCCCGCGGAGCGGCTGGTAGTTTCGAACCGCTGACCTTAAGGTTCGCAGCCCGATTCGTAACCACTACGCTACCAGAGCTCCTTTATATTATTATTATATGTCCGACTCCTGGTATGTTGCTGTAGAATAAACATGCGACTGTGAACCACAAATCCGACAGTTCAAACCCATCAGCTGCTTCTCAGAAACTTTGTACAGGGTCGCCATGGGTCCGAATTGACTCAAAAGCACTTAACAGCAGCAGCAGCAATAACATTATATTTTACTTCCATTAAGTAGCATGTCCAACTGAAGATTCTGTAACTGCCCTCATCCCAACACCTTTGCTGTGGAACTTGGTGGATTTTCTCCCTATGTGAAAACCAAAACCCACAAAAACCAATCCACTGCTGTGGTGTTGATTCTGACTCCTAGGACAGAGGAGAACTACTCCCTAGGGTTTCTAAGACTGTAAATCTTTATATAAGCAGACAGTTCCATCTTTTCCCCTTGGAGCAGCTGGTGGGTTTGAACTTTCAATTTATTGGTTAGCAATCCAATGCACCAGGCACTGTGACAGCAGGCGATATAATATATAAATAAAAACTGAGTTGATATCTATCCAAATCACTGCTTCATCCCTGCCACAAAAAGGTTCATGTGGGATTGTGTTACACTAAGTTTTCAAAGCAGCTCCTATCCTAGTGCGTCAGACTGCAAAGTCATTTGAACTGCAAGGTCGGTGGTTCAAGCTCACCAGCGGCTCCTTGGAAACCCTATACAGGGTCGCTATGGGTTGGAATCAACTTGACAGCACTTGACAACAACAACATCCTTGTGTGGCTATTGTAAATAATAATGCAGCAATAAACACTGGTATACCCATGTCCATTTGAGTCCCTGTTTTCCATTCTTTTTGATATAGACCTAGAAGTAGAATTACTGGGTAACATGGCCTGGTGTGGCACTGTAGGATAAACACTGCACTGCAGTTCAAACCCACCGCAAGGTTGGCGGTTCAAGCTTACCAGCTGCTCCTTGGAAACCCTATACAGGGTCGCTATGAGTTGGAACTGACTCGAAGATACTTAACAACAACAACAACAACATAGGTATACAATAATTAAAGAATAAGCATAGTGGATAAGAGAATGCACTCTCATAAATAAAGATGGATCAGGGAGAACACACTGACAGTAACAAATAATAACTTGGAGTTCTTATGTTTTTACCAGTTTGAAAAAGTCTAAGGACATGGTAGTATCTTCAGTTCGAGCACATTTTTGAATAGCTGATCATTCTCAAATTTACTTAAAACTCACTACTTGAATTTCAGTACGTGGAGTTTGAAATACCAAATCAGCAATGGTCAGATCTCAATGCCAGATCAGTTTTCTGGTTGGCGGAGAGAGAAACACCAGGAAACATAAAGAACTGCAGTGTTAACAAATGTCCTGCTCCCTACACTCGCCCTTAAAAAGAAAACAGAAAAAAAACCAACAACAACCCTAGTTATTAAACTTCTTGTTACCAGCAAGCGCCCATTATTTTCCCAAGGAGTGGTCTGAATCTATAAGTAGAAACAGGGAAGGAAGAGGTGTAAGAAGGTGACCCCAGGCTGTAACTGGCAAAGTCAAAGAATGGATGAAGAAACAGGCAAGGAGGAAAACAGGGTTGACTCTGGTATTTGTAGGGGGTTAGGATGACCGAAGGAGCCCTGGGGGCACACTGGTTAATGTGCTTTGCTGAAAGGTCAACAACAGTTGGAACCCACCAACTGCTTCCAAGGAGAAAAAAAAAAATCATCAGTCTGTTCCATAAAGAATTGGTGGTGGTATGCAAGTCCCTTAGACTCATAGCGACCCTGTATAGGGTTTCTGAGGCTGTAAATCTTCACTGGAGCCGAGCTTCATGTTTCTCTCACAGAGTGGCTGCTGGATTTGATTGTCATTAGCAGCCTAGCCCCTAATCCACTACGCTATCACAGTCAAGAAAACCCCGCAGGGGCAATTCTACTCCGTCCCATGGGGTCGCTAGGAGTCAAAATCGACTCTACAGCACCTAACAACCTGAACAAGTTGACAGAATTGGGGGAAAACAATCGAGATTCTGACTTAGAATAGCATAGTATCCCAGAGTAGTTAAGAGCCTGCCTGGGCGCCAGAATCACACTGGTTGGGAGCCTGGGTCTGGCTTTGCTATTTACTAATTCTGTAATCTTGTGCAATGGGCTGAAAATTTAACCCTCAGTCGTCACTTGCAAATTGGGGATAATAATAGTGTGTAGCTCATGGAGTAGCTGTGAGAGTTAAGTGACTTAAGTGTTAGGCTTATAGCAAACGCTCAGGCTGTGTTAAACTACTGTCTTTGTGGTTGTTTCTTCTTCCTCTTTCTTAATGCTCTGTGCTCTGTACTCCAGCAGGGAGGGAGAGAGATGAAGCGCTCAACAACACGCTAGACGAGTGATGAGCAGTTAGTTTTGAGAGAACCTGACTCAGGCTTATTTTGAGGTGAGGATCCCACGGAGGTGAAGTGGCACCATTTCCAGAGCACACCCTTTCTTTCTCTGATCCCACCTTTGAGGAGGCCAAGACCAAAGCTGGCAGGAGGCACAAGCGGCTTCCTCTGGAGTGGCTCGCTCAGGGCGGGGGCACTGCTGACCTGGACACTAGACAGTTTTCACCTCTCCTGCCTCCTGGGCACAAGAGGCCATGTGTGTCCCAAACCTAGCATTCCTGTTTTGGAGGGGTGAGGAGCATTTGGCTGTCATTCTGCCTCCTGGCCCAAGCTCGCCCCGCATTGTCACAGCCAAGGAGTTCTGCTCGGACCCTGTACTGGATCCTAGCCTCAGCTCCCCTCAGCCTTCGCGCAGGCGCCGCCAGGGCCACCCCCGCCGCCATGTTGCCCCCGCCCGAGCTCCCTCCCACCACTCTCCCCTCTCTTCCCCACTGGGCTCCCGCCCCCCTCCCTCCCTTTCTCCCTCCCTCCCCTCCACCCCCTGGTGAGGTCAGCCGGAGGCTTTGCTGCTGCGGCCGCAGCAGCTCGGCTCTTATTTAGGGGAAGCCTGGAACGGGGACTTCTGGAAAGAACTGGAGCGCCGTTCAGGTCCAGGGTCCGCACAGGGCGAAGTGACCTGGGTCAGCAAGGGGTGCGGAGGTGCGGGTGCTGCTGCCTTACAGGAGGAGGGATCCCCAGCTGCGCGGTGCCACTCCAGCTTTGACCCGTGGAGCATAGAGCCAGAGGACAAGCGACAGGACCCCAGACGCGGCAAACCAGGTGAGGAAGGGTCACGAAGTCGCAGGGGCTACTTCAGCCTGGTCCTCACCTCTTGGATCCAAGAACCTAGTTCAGCGAGGCTGTGCTGAGGAAAGAGTTAGGATCTGCCCCAGGACCAGTGGGACAGGGGACCAGTTTTGCACCTCCCACTTCTTTTTTTCTGCTAATCTCTTATCCCTTATGCTTACACCTTCTCATCCTTTCCTCTTGGTCCTCTGGCTCTGCCAGACGCCTGAGTTCTTCTAGGATCCCAGAATCCAGTTTTCCTTTGGTTCTTTGTTATCCCTCCAAGATCTTCTTGTCCTGGCTTCGCTGTCGCTGTCCTGACAGTCTGGGGTCCCTCTGGCCGCCCGGGCCCTACTGTCTGTTGTCTTCTTAACAGCTTCTGCTTTGTGCCTCCCAGTCAGTCCATCCCTCCCTCAGATTCTAACTTGGGAGGCTCTGCTGCTGGCTCCCTAGCCAGGAGCACACGCCTCTTCTTCCTCGAAGCTTTCAGCTTCGCTCTTAACGTTTTGACTTCTCTGGTTTACTAAACGTGATGGCAATACTTGTTTGAGAAATATCAGCTAAGGAACTTGAAAGTTTCTTTCTAGGTTTTAGTCACTTACTCCAAGAACGATAGCCAGCCGTCTCTTTCTCTCTCTACATCCATCTATGCAATCCTTGTCTGAACAAACAAACAAACAAACAAGCCCAAACCCTTGCCATAAAGTTGATTCAGACAATAAAATCCTAGTTGTTGTTGTTGTTAAGTGCCATTGAGTCCGTTTCAACTCATAGCGACCCTGAATAGGGTTTCAGAAGAGTGGCTGGGGAGTTTGAACCGCCGACCTTTCAGTTAAGCAGTTAAAACCGACCTTATGGTCGAGTGCTTATCCTACAGCGCCAGGTAAACGATCCTAAATCTGATCTCCGCACAACCACACACCCCAAGCTGGCCTGAGAGGTACTCTTGGTAGGGCTTTTGATTCCTGGCTCCAATTGGATATTCAATTCATGAATTGGTTATTCAATTCTTTAAAATAGCCAGAGGACTCTTAGAGGTTTGGGATAAAATGATACTCAAAATGGGACATTGAATGGGATGGGATTGACTTTGGGATGTTAAACTGCCTCTGTTGGAAGGGCACCTGCAGCAGAGAAAAATACTTAAAAAAGACAAACAAAAAACAAGTCACAATTTCTTCCTGTAGATTTCATGTTTGTATCAATGCCCAGGAAACTGCATTTCGAAACTATGTAGTTTTCCAAACTCTTTTTCAGTGCTTTGGACATTAGTTGGCTCAAATTGATTTTACACAGCACCAGCTATTCTCGTACTGATACCACCTTCTTTCCATGCAATTGCCACACTACCTCCCAAAGTGAGATTCATTTGCTTACTTCCATCCTGTAGTGAGTAAAGAAGACAGAACAGAGTAGCTGAAAGTAGAGGTGGAGATGAGTGAAGGAGCACATGTTGATGTGCTGTGTGTTGTGGGATTAGGCTATATTTCTCATGCTCAAAGTTTGAAAACTTAGAAAAAATGAAATAAGAAATTATGGCATCATTTTACACTTTAAAATATTAGCCTCCTTCGCTGCAGGTTCTTTCTTATTAATATCCTTACACTTACCAGTGATAGAATTGCTTGCTAGCTATGTGACTAGGTACTGCCACTAAATACAATGTACGCTAATTGGCTGCAATCTCAGAAGAAACCAAATTGTGAATGAAGATAATGGCTAAATGTTACTTTTCGGGTAAATCATCTTTTGGCAGTGGCTCAATGAAGACAGTTTATGCTGCAGCATCGGTTTAAAAATAGATAAGAGCCTCAATTTCCCAAGGTTGTTAATCTTCCATTTTTATAAACACACTTTAAGTGTGGTGTGATTCTATAGGGTTGAAGCTGATGTTCTGATGAAAGCAGTGTTTGCACAGAGTAAAGACTATTGGTTATCCATTCAGTTGTATTACAATGACTTGCAGATGATTTTCAGTTTCTCCATTCATTTAGTAAAAATTTTTATTTCATTTTCCTTCTATGAAGAATGGGATATTCTAGGGAAAGAGGACTTATCCAAGTAATGGTTCTACTCTTCTAACTCTTAAATTTTTTGGTAACTCTTATCAAAGAGTTTATATCAGATAGTCTTACAGGATTCAAAATCTCTTGTTATTTTTTTCCTATTGTGGTAATTATTGATAGTAAGTCTGAACTAAAGTGATCATTACTGTGATAGTAAAGAAAAACTATGTTTGTCAGGCAAAGCAGAAGTAGGTATATGTTAACTTAAAATATTTTTCCTCTGAATCTTTTCAATATGAGTTGCTAAATATTTAACAGTGTATTGAAGATAATTGCAATTTGCTATTAGATTAACTTCTAGCTCATTTACTTTACATAGTGTGGTAGACACCATAAGATTTCAGAAAATCTGAAAAGAGTATGGAAAAAAAAAAAAAAAAAAACGAGCCGTCCTAGAGACCACATCTCAAGAATTATTGCTTCCTCAAGTTACTAACACTCATAGCAATCTGGTTATAAATACGTTGTTTTTTTTTCTTGTTCATTTAGTAATTCAGTTTTCAAAATCTATTGAGTACCTTTTATGTACCAAGGTATGGTACTAGACACAATGATAAACCTTCTAAAATACAGTCTTTGCTCTTGTGGAGTTTCATGGAACTTACAGTCTGTTGGAGGACATAGATAATTAACAAGTACATAAATGAGGAAAATGTTTATAGACTGTATTAAGAACGATGAAGGGAATGTGTAGGGAAGTGTGATCTGGCAAACTGGGAAAGGTCTCCTTTTTGCAAAGATAGTCAGAGAAGGTGACGTTTGAGCAGAGACCTGAAAGGGAAGAGATAACAGACCCTCCTTGTGAAGATCATTCTCCCAGAGTCAAGGCTTTGACACAGGAAACCAGACTTGAGTGTTTGAGGAACAGAAAGAAACCCAACATGGCTGGAGCTGCCTTGCACTGGGTGGGGAGAATGGTTACGGAGGGAATCGAGAGCTAAGAGGGAACCAGGTAATGCAGAGCCTGGAGATTCTGAAAAAGAATTGGGGTTTGATTCTCTGAGTAATGGAAAACTATTAAAGGAACCCTGCTGGGAGAGTGGATAAAGTTTGGGGCTGCAAACCTCAAGGTCAGTAGTTCAAACCCACCAGCAGCTTCCAAGGGAGAAAGATGAGGCTGTCTACTCTGGTAAGATTGCTAGTCTCAGAAACCCTACCCTGCTCTACAGAGGCATTGTGAGCTGTAATTGACTCAATGGCAGCCGGTTGTTTACTGCTTTCCTGTGGAAGGTCACGGACTGAAAAATTTTGTCAGTGGAAAAAAAGAGAAGAAACCATCATTTTGTTTTGTAGAGGATAAGTAGAATGTCTAGTTGTTTACATTAAGGCCAGGGAATGAAAAACTATTTGATAAATGGCGGTAGTGGCTGTGTGGTGTGGAGCCGGTTCTGACTCCCTAGCAACCCTGTATAGGGTTTCGAAGGCTGTAAATCTTTACAGGAGCAGAAAGCCTCATCTTTCTCCCGAGGAGATTTGAACTGCTGACCTTGAAGTTTGTAGCTTAACTCATAACCTGCTATGCTACCAGCACTCCTATTTGATAAGTACAATAAATAAATATATAATTTAATTCCTTGATTCTCTTTAAGCAATGGGGTGGGATAATGAGATTTCTGAAATGAATATGTTTAAAGTATTTTATTTTATTTTATTATTGTCACCCGGTCTCTGAGATAAGCTATCACCAGTTTTCTTGAAAATCAAATTGTTTTTCAAATCAAGAATTTGTATTTCAAAGAAGGTTGTTACATTTTCTCATAAAAATCCATTTCCTGTGGTAGTTTGGAAGTTTTGTGTATGAAGGAATAACTTAGATTTTAGAAATGGCCCTTGATATTTTAAGATGAGTTTGCCATTTGTCATTTTCTTTTAGGTGCTGTCTCTCCAATATTTTTAAACTACCACATATTGATTCTTTGAGAGACCAGGGCTACCCCATTTCTTGCGGCAGAGGTAAATTTAGAATTGGCATTGATTTTATTGCTCAGAGCCTTGCTTGAAAGCAATCTACTTTGAGGTCTGTTGTTGTAAAGTGCCATTGAGTGTTGAGTAGGTTCTGACTCATAGCGGCTTTGTATGGAGTTTCTGAGGAGCGGCTGGTGGACTTGTACCCATAACATTGCAGCTAGCCATCCAGCGCTTATCCTCCAGTGCCGTATAAACTCTGGTTGTACTCAAACAGGAATCAAGGTGGCCACTGGCCTTCCATAGGGATAAATTCTAACATCATGGGGGAATGACCTACAAACAACCTTGAGTGGCTCCTTGGGTCAAGTTCCAACTCCTTAGTTTAGCACTCAAGATTCTCCACGATTTGAGCTTAGTTTAAAAACCTCAGAAACCAAACAAACAAAAACTCCAAAAACACAAACCCACTGACTTTGAGTCCATTCTGATTCGTAGCGACCCTATAAGACAGAGTAGAACTGCCCCATTTGGTTTCCAAGATTGTAAATCTTTACAGAAGCAGGCTGCCTCATCTTTCTCCGCAGAGCAACTGGTGGGTTTGAACTTCCAGATTTTCTGTGCATAGCTGAGCACTTTAACCACTGCTACACTCGGGCTCCTTAGGACCTTAGCCTGCTTTTCCAGATTTCCTTATTCACATACACAAATCTCCTATTGCTTTAAGTTGATTTTCTACAGTTGGGACTTTTGTGTCTAGGATTATTCCTAGCATAAGTGCTTGCTGAGTGGATGCCATGCCACCCATTTTAAAAGCCCTTCCCTTTGTCAATCCAGACCCCAACACTAGTCAAGGAGCATGTTCAATTACACTGGCCCTACTCACTCACAAGATGTCCTCTTTCTTCTTTGAATGTGAATGGCAATCACACACTTGCCTTGTTATATCATGATTATACAAGTATTTGATGCCTGGAACAGACTTGATGGCACTTAACAACAATAATCTTATCCATTGGTTTC